GCAGTTAGCCTTGTGGGCTCATTGATATTTGTGTTGTAGCTTAACAAGTCTTACTGATGAGCATTTTCAAATAGAGAAGGGTGGAAAAGTGTTAGAAAAGTGCCTGCAAAATAAATGGAATTAATTAAGTATGCTGTTTTGTTTGGCTTATTTGTATATCTGTGGGTGAATCAAGAAAACATACTTTATGCATAATAAAAGAGACCTAAAGTACTGTTTATTGATACACGCACTAGATAGTTCATAGTAAAAACAATTGAAACTGATGTAATTAGCTTTTGAATTAACAATAAATTTATAATGGGCCTTTATGGTTCAAAGAATGGTGTTTGGAAAAACTTCCTCATAGATTTTCTGTAATTAAATTACCTCCTGGAGTTTTACTGGAAAACCGTGTGTGTTCTGCTTTCTTAATAATAAATCTTTCTACGGACAGAATTAATTTTTAGAAATCCCCCTTCTGTTTGATAAAATAACAAGGGAAACTCATCGTCCTCTGATAACCTGAGAGCTAGCTTTTCTTTTCGCAAAATATGATACAAAAAGTTGTCTGTTATATTTTTCTAGACATTAAAGCCAAAAGAAACATTTAGAGTATTTGTGTGTCAGGCCAGAACATTTCTCCCCTGTAACTTGCAATTTGACTAACGTATCTTCCAAAAAGTACCATCTGGTTTGAAGGAGTCCGCTGTGGTTCAGTGGTAGAATCCTTGTCTATATCACATAGGAAACCTGGATTCGATTCCCAGATACTTGTACAGCTACAGCCGTGGACTCAGTCTGGTCTTTGGATTCTGTCTCAGTGGCCTAAAGGGAGGATGGGCAGTTGGGGCAGCCTCCACTCCTCCAAAAATTCCTGCCCAGGCATATGCATCGAAGGTCTGGGTGGCCCTCATGCATACACCACCATCTGGTTTGAAGACTGCAAGGGACAGGATCCCACCATTCCCTTTCGCTCTCCTTGTGAAAGATATGCACGTAATTTCTCATTTAAATTTGTCTGGCAGTATGTCTGCAATCATTTGAAATATGAGTGGCTTTCATTCTCACTAGTGATGGGCAAGCTTTAAAGTATGCTTCTAAATAGGGTCTGAAACTGTCACCACCCACAAAGCAACTGACCTTTGAGCTTCACATCCTTAGCATCTGGAAACACCTTTCCTTCTACTGACGCATCTCCAGCTGTAGTATCTTCTTGAGAGAAGGGTCTAATAGCTTGCAATTCCTATCACTTGGGTCAACTAGCCCTTCAGGAGAATGCAACAGCCTGAAGCAATGGGTGTTACATACAGGAATTTTATTTTCCTGTCAGTCTGATTCTGTCCTAATTTTAATTCCCAGGTTATAGCTTTGGCTTTGGTTTTCCTGTCAATATGTCCCTAGTAGCAGGGTACAGGACACAATAAGTTTTAGACCACAGTGTAAGGGTCACAGGTCTCTGAGCCTCTAGGCCATAAATAATCTAACCAGTTGTGACCAAGAGACAGGAAGTAATCAATACAAAACCATTGCAATCAAATTTTATCCTCCTCACTTCTCTTCAGCTATCGGAGGCAAGAAATTCAGATAAAAGATGGTATTCTGTAGAAACAGCATTAAGTTGTAGCCTGAAGTGTTTCTTGATTGTCACATAGTTCTATCCTGCTTTTTAAGAGGATAAAGTTTCAAACTCATAATGCCCTGAGATGACTCTAGGCCCTTGCCTTAAACCAAACCCATATAGGTTTGGGGCAAGTATTTCTCTGTCTCCAGAGCCATTATTGGAGATGTCTTCTGCCATGTAGCAGTCAACATTTTCCATATTTTTTTGTATATCTCACACCCCCAAATAAGATGCACATCTCTTTTTGGGCAGTCATAATAAAGAAAAAAGAGATTTTGACTGCATAGAGTTATTATGACTGCATAGAGCAGGGACAGAGCTGAATCTTCAGCTCATTCACCTTCCCTTTCTTGTTAACCAAAAGTTGAAACCCTAGCTGCTGCTAAAGACTGGTCTCCAGGAGTGGACTTTGAAAAGAGCTAAAGAGTCTCCGGGACTATGTAATAGGAGGGGAGAGACCAGGAGCAGCAAGTAGGATGCAAAATTGCCGAAAGAAAGGTTAGCATGATTAGTGGAACACCAAGACCATTAAAAGGGAAAGACAATTGTCAACACCTTTGGAGTGAAGAACAGTGAACCATAAAGTCCATTGACTCCCTCTCCTGCCTGAATGGAAATGCCAGTGCTGCTGCTTGGTGGAGCAAGAATCAAAGCAGAGTGTTTCTGTTCCAGGTGGAGAATCATCTTCCCCACTTAAGATGCGCACCCCAACTGGGGGTGGAAGGGAGAGGGGCAGCAGGGTGCTGATTTTTTGGACAAAGTGTATATGGTATGTAAGTAAATACGACATGTACATCAGTAGTATGTACAGAAGTCAGGAGAGTTGTTGGGACCGTACAACAGTTTAACAACACTAAACTCTACCTCCTTTATGTTAAATGGGAACAGACCTGTTTCCCAGTCTTCTCAGTAGTTACCCAAAGATCACTGTTTGGAGAAAGATCAGTTAATTTAAAGCTATTCCACTCCCCCATTCTCAAGGGCATCTGTCCAGATTTTTTATGTTAACTTGCTGCTCCTTCTGGACCTTCCATATTAGTGGATGTGCAAGTAGCCACCATTTCAAAAAGTGCACATTTCTTTCCACCTGGAGTGGATAGCTAAAATATTAAATGATGTTCCTAGTGGATACAGACACAGAACTGACCACAGTGATCTGTGCATTGGGGTCCCACAGGGATCTCTGGTAGCCCCAACTAGTACAAAGGCTCCAGCTGGTACAAACATTGGCATTGCATCTTCAGTAGCACAGGTTAGCATGAACATACCTTTCGTGTACTTTACTCTGGCTCCACAGAGTATATTTAAAAAAAAAAAAAAAAAAGTCCTGTTCAAGTTCTTTGTCCTAGTAGTCAAAGCCCTCTGAGTTTGGCCCCAGTTTTGTGAGGATCACTTCTCCCTTCACTATCTTGACCCACCTCATGACAACCATATTTTCTTGGACCATATTAGACTAATAAGATTTCTACCTATCTAATTTATGAAAGGAGTCAAGCAGTTTGCTTGTGCAAGAATAGATTTGGAAGGCAAAATCATGGCCCTGAAATCTCTAGAAGTTTTGCCATTTAATTTTAACCTGTTCATATTTTAGCCCCATAAAAAAAAGTTCTACTCTACGGTTGCATTTTGCATGGTTAGTGGTGTGTTTTGGGAAACTTCTAAAATTCATATAGAGTTAACTGCTGTCACCGATCCAGATATTTAAAAAGGCATTAATTAAAGGCTGAGGTTGTTTTTAAAAGGAAATCAAACAGGGCGAAGAACTGGTGCAGAAGGAACTAAATATATTAAAAGGCATGGTAAAGAGCATGTGTGTGTGTATATATGTATATATGGTCTTTACCATGCCTTTCAATATATTTAGTATATTATTTTCGATGTAAAATATGTATAATATATATGACTTGTACCTTACATATAGCTATATAGTTAATAAGATTATATCGTCATGTTGTGTCTTCCCTCTTTCCCTATCCCCCAGCCCCCCCTAGACCTTCTGTAGACTATAAATGCAGCCAGTTGTTTCTCAAGGTTTCAGATAACTTTATCTGGTTCATTGTAGTTAAGTAACAGTGCCTGACACTGAGCACAAATTATGTCTGTGTTTCAAGGATTTACAGAGAAGGTTTTGACAAATTGAGTTGCCTTATGCTGGCATGTTTCCCCTAATGTTTATTGACTCTGTCTGTTTCTTTTGAAGTATTTTCTGTTGCTATTGCACATTTAATTTTTCTAAAGTTTTAATAATTGGATTAAGGCTATTACCTGCAGGGGTCCTTATTCATTTAAATTACATAATTTCTTCATTCTTCTTGGGTTTAAAATGAGACTCGTGTTTTTTGTAGCAGTTGTCGACAGAAATGGATTTTATAAAATGTCTTCTGTAAATATAAAAATAATTTATTTCTTGATATGTTCTGCCTCAGAAAGCATTTGGAGAACAAATAGAATGCAGGTTATGATAAAGACAAATTAACCTATATCATGTTTAATGGGTTGATTGCTAGGAATGGTTTTGCACACAATAAGCTTTTCTTTCTTTTCATTATTGCCTTGCCAATTTCTTACCACTGTATTTTTTCAGTACAGTATAACCTCATAAATCCAGATATCAAAAATCCAGAATTCTCAAAAATCTGGCACTTTTTAAGCTCCCCACCCCTGCTCCCCAGACATGAAGGGGAAAGCTTGCACACGGCAGCTGCCACTGCCATCCCCCACCCCGCTCCGTGTGTGGCGGCTGCTCTGGGACTGGCCGCTGCTACCTCACCCGCCCCCCGGTTTCAAAAACACAGAATTTTCAAATTTCAAGCATGCCGGATTTATGAGGTTATACTGTATTTGTTTCTTTGGTTCCCTACAATCTCTGATAGCTGACTATATATTCTCAGCAGTTTCTGCCTATAAGTCATTTAACCTGTTGGCATAATCTGCTTGTGAACTAAATGAGGAAATAATGCTTCCTCTTGGTCATTTGACTAAGCTTGATCCTGCTTCCATTCAAGCCAACATCAATTTTGCTCTCCTTCAATAGGAGCAAGAAAAGGGTCTGCCTAGTGATCTTTAAATGTAAAAATACCCGAGAGACATTGTCACAATATATCATTTAGGGAAGGGTTGGGCTCTATCCTGTGTTGCTTACTCACTTTTGTGTCTGTGGAAGTTGATGAGAATTCGTGGGTGCAGCCCTGTCATGTACACCCAGACTATGTGTGGCAAAGATTTTCTCAGCAAGAAAGCATTAATAATAGTGTGCTTTTCCAGGAAAGGGCTTGCCAGCAGATATTCTTAAGAGCTTTTTCATTTGCTTGTCATATTGTTAAGAGAATGTAAAGGGGAATGGGCCAAGGCCATTCCTTTTTGTAACTTAATTATCTTATTTCCTCCCCTTTTGCAGACAACTTCAGCAACAGCAAGCAGAGCTTGAAGTGCATCAGAGGGATGGGTTGTCATCTTATGACTTATCTCAGGTGATAACTCTGGATAGATCTTTATCTTAGTCTCTGTTCTTTCATGCACAAATTGACTGAAGTGTTGAATGTGATACAAATACATTGTGACTATACCTGAGCTTCTGGTGTCAAATATGGTGGGGACAGTTATGTTTTCTTTTTCATATGTGAACAACAGGTGCCTGTTCCAAGCATACCAGCTAATGTTCATGAGGGTGGAAAGTCAGTGGAGAAGCCAGATGCAATCTTCTCCCAGGAGAGGGATCCTAGGTTTGCTGAGATGTTTGCAGGAATAACTACTTGTAAGTGAGAGCTTCTAGTATTGAATATTTAATACTGTATTAAGTGCTGTTACATCATATAAAACACTACCTTAAGGAATTTGCGGCAGACAAATCAGTTAGCAAGATTAGTCTGAATGTCTGCATCCTAGAATTTGTCTTAACTAAGCATTTTCCACCACAAAAAGAATGAGGAAAACTCCAGAATTTAAGGATCAGGCTGATAATACTGTGTACTGTCTTAATTTAGAGAAGCTGCTCTCTTTTCTCATATAGCTGCATATTTCCCTGGCAGTTTCTGAATAGGAGTTGCTTTTATATAGTAACCATCCTTTTCTTTCTGAGGCAAAACCTTTACAGTGGAACTCTTAAGCAAATCCACTTGATAGGGCTTGAGGCTTATATATCTGTTCCTTTTTCCAACAGTGTTATGCCCATTTATCTCATTGAGCAAGACTGGAATAGCAGTGCTGTCAAGATAGGGGTTTTCTTTTGGGGTTGTTTTTTTGGGGAGTTCTGTTTTTTTAACTCTAAGCCTATTTTTATAGGTGATGTTTTCAGATGTTTGTGTTGCTTCTAGTTATAATAATTTCCTTGTTTGTTTTGTACTTGTTTATTGTTCTTAACCTTCCCACTGAAACAAAAGTTTTCACATTTGTTTTAAATAAATGAATGTGCAAGTTCCTTGCAGCGAAGGGAAGAAATGGCCTGCTGTGTTCAACTGCAGGGGTACAGGGGGATGACCTCACTGTATGGGTTTCTTATGCATAACTCGACCTTTTCAAACTGAGAAAGCAATGTAACTTCAATCTAGACTTGATATTCTGTCCTCCTGTTGCTGAGACTTCTGCTTTCCTATTCATCCAGTCTATCTGCTCTTACAGTGAAGTCAACAACTGAGGCCATAAAAAGGGTCTGCTGGAAGGTAGCAAGACTTCAACCCTAAACACTAGAATGTTGTTCCAAGCGAGAACATCTTACTTTTTGGCTGCTTTCTTGGATCACATTCAGACAGCTCTGGACTGCTTATGGGGTTGGGTTAGGGTTAAGGGTCTTGCAAGCTGCGAGGTTAGTGGAGAGGTGGTGTCCTTGGAAATGCCATTTTTCTTTCCATTCTTATCAATTCACAAGCCATGCTTTTTTTTGGACATGATCCCTGTCTAAATTTCTCATGCCATGCTTTTTTTTGGACATGATCCCTGTCTTCATTTCTCAGGGGAGCCACAATCAAGGTTTTTTTAATGTTAAAAAGGGATGGTTCTCAGTTAGAGATGTGATGAACTGTCCAAAAACAATATTGACAAACCTGCACACTGCATGCAGACATTAGTGTAATGTTGATACTAGACCTGTTTCTTCACTGTGGTTTGTAATATAGTTTGGAGCTGACACATTCAGGTTTGATATAGTGGGGAAAAGAGGTTGGGTACATATCACCTGCATATCAGACTGAAAAAGAAAAGATCTCTTACTTCATCCATAGACACATTTTGAGTAGCAACTATTTTGAGAAATAAAGCTCTATGTTAGTACTGTGCCCCACTTCTGCAGATCATGGTATGGTAGGCATCGGATGGAAACAGTGGCCACATTAGGGGAAGATTAAATGGATGATTAGCGGGGGCAGGGAGTGTTAGTAGTAGGGAAGGATTTCAAACCAGGAGACTTAAAGCATGAAGTTAAGTATTAGTAGATGGCAGTCGTGTGTATTGCTGTGATAGAAGTGCAAGAGTCGAGGGGCAGTGTAAATCATAAGAGGAAATAAGGTGGAGGATGGATGGGCCAGATGAGATGCGATTAAAGGAATACTCAGCCCAGCTCAGGAGGGAGCTAAAATCTAGTTTATGCCTTTGCTAATGCTCAGTCTTCTTGGCGGTTCTTCTCAGACAAAAGTTTTAGGAAGGTGACTGCCCACACCAGTTGCAGGCCCGCTGGTGACTATTCAATCCAATTGCAGAGAGGCAAATCCTGCTGCAACAGTTACATGTGTATAGCTGATTACTGCTAGATGAGGCTGCATCTTTCTTCCTCCTCTTCTCCTCGATGCACTGACATTCAAAGAGGACTGTTGACTTTTTGATTGGATTCGCCAAGCATCATGATCTGCAGCCTATGTTTCCTACAGCTTGTGGTCAATACCGCAGACAGAAAAGGACCTCTTTGGGGTGTCCTTGAAGTGCTTGCATGGACACCCACTGATACACAGTAGTTCACACTGAAAGCCTGCCTTTAACTGCTCCATCTGCCAGCGGCCTCCAGAAGCGCTTTTGGCAGTTTGTGAAAACAGACTTGTACATCCCTTTTTCCTCAGATGGCTTAAAGGGCTGGAGTGGCAACTCCATTTCATCTGAGGAATTTCACCTCATCAGGTAATTTTTAAGTCAACGGGTACATCATTCCTGAGCACTGAAAGTAGCTTCATGTCTAAGAGGCCTTGGAACCTGGCCAGGGATCTGGCCTACTATTTCTAAATGCTAAAACTTTGTTATCTAAGGGAACATCACATGAAACCTGTGGGAAGCAGAAGAAGATGGGAGAAAGAAAAGATGGGCCCTATTTAGACAACCATCAGAGGTGCATTGCAACAAACACTTGCAAGAGGTGGAGAAGGAAAGGTGGTACAAGGATTTTATATTGTTAAAAAGGAAATGAAGGTTGCCAGCCACTTTGGAAACTAGCTCTCTGAGCAAGAATTGAGAGGAGGCTCCAAAATACTATGTATAGGTGCAGTCTCAGACTAGAGACTTGCTGGTCCTTCTCAAGGTAGTAGCCAAATATCTTACCAAAATAGAGCATCAAAGTTAGTTTGTGCTTTGGCCATAGGGAGAATTTGTTGCAGATCTGCTGTACCAGTCACCAGAGGGCATGAATTGTTACAGCTGCCAGCTGCAGAGCTTTGGCTTCTGTTACAGCAGTGAGCACCTTTAGCTTGAACACACAAAAATGTTCAATTAAAGAAATTAAGTGGCAGCATGTTTGCCCTGTGCTGTTTGAGCAAATGACGAGATTAGTCACAAGAGTAAACTTTTTGTTGTTGTTTTTGTGCAACGGGAGAACCTAAAAGTTAATGGCATCTCTTCATGTGTTTCATTTGCAATACCAGTGTGTGTCTTTGCTAATCTTGAATTCCCTCGGGATGCCTGCATCCTTGTACATGACCCACCCAAGCATCTGTTTGGTTTTTTTCAGAGCAAAATCCCCAAGAGGTTCAAGTTTTGCCTTTGTGACTGTTTGCACACCCATATGTAAGCTGCTGACCTTGCAGAGACAAAACTCTCGCTGAATTCATGGCAGGGGTGTAGGTTGTAGCTGTGTTGGTCTAAGGACATAGGCAGACAAGGTTCCTTGGGTGAATTTGATATCTTTTATTAGACCAACCCAAATAGTTGGAGAATAGTTATTAAGCAAGCTTTCGAGTTCAAAAGGGTTCAAAAGGGGATGAAGGGTTTTTGAACTCGAAAGCTTGCTTAATGACTATTCTCCAACTATTTGGGTTAGTCTAATAAAAGATATCAAATTCACCCAAGGAACCTTGTCTGCCGCTGAATTCATTGGAATTGATGTGGATGTAAAGGGCTTGCAGGGTCAGCCTGATCTACGAGTAAAATCCCAACATAATGCCTGGAGGACTCTGTTATGAAAGTTCGGCTCCTGTAGAGGGGAGCAGATCAGAAGCTGTTTAGGACAGAGGCCGGTCTTTTGCTTTGTCTCGGTACATATAGTGTAGTCTTGTTCTGTGACCGGTGTTCTCGTCAGTCCTGGAAAAACGATAGTAACAGTGCTGCCGCAGACCCTGCAGGCCATACCAGAATGTGCAGAAACTGAAGTGTTTCAGTAATGGGCTTGGGTAGGAGCACATATACCGCAGGCTCCTTGCATTCCTACTTCCCCCCCTTCCTGGGTCTATTCCTTTATTCCCTCCTCAACAGCCCATCAGTAGACTATTCCCTGGAATATTTCAGCCAGTGGTAACAGAGCTGCCAAAAAATGTGTATTCAAGTTGTTGCTCCACAAGGTTATTTCATAAACAGGCTAGACAATGAATGAATACAAATAGCTTTCCTGTGCAAGGAATAAAAAACCCTTCTGTAACTTATGCTACAAACCAATTAGCTCTGCTAGGTGGGACCAGACTTCTCAAAACTGATGTGAAATTAGACCACGTTGAATAATCTGTAATCTCAAACTAATATCTGTCATGTACATTCCCTAGGATACAGAGCTAATGGGAATGGAGAAATTACCACATTTTAGATAGAAGAAAAATTCAAAGATTTCAATATGTTCACTGCTCAGATAAACTGCACTGCAGAATTCTAAAAGAACTGGTGCAAACGTTCAGTCCAGTAGCCAGGATTTTTATTCCATATAGGAAATCAGACTCTAGAACAAATTTTGACAGAAAGATTAACCAAAGAAATGGAGACAAATAGAAAATTACTCAAGGGATATAGAACCCCATTTAATTTTCATACAGCTCTGTTGGTTTCATTCCAGTGTTGTTCATTGCACTATTTCATAGATTATTAAAAAGCAGAGCATTACCCATCCCACACAGGTTGTACTTTTGTACTATTGTACATTTTGCTGAACAACTAATAGTTTTTGTTGTTTCCTGAGATTTTTTTTTTCTTCTTGTGGTAATTTTTCTAGCGGATAAAAAAATGATGGCCTCAGCATCCACTGCAGGAAACCAGCAGCTCTACTCCCAAGGAAGCCCATTTCAGCCGGGACATTCAGGAAAGGCTTTCAGGTACCACACTAGCTCTAGCCCCAACAACATCACAATTGAAAAATAGTTGCCTTTTGGTATAATGGAAACGGGGTGAGGCTAACTAACACCAGCACATTTTTCCTGTAATGTGAATTATCCTTTCTTTTTTGGACATTTAATTCCTGTGCAAAAGTTCATCAGACAGGAGTAACACAGAAACCATTTTGAAACCAGTAAACTCAAGGGCACCAGATAAAACACCTCATCTAAGGAAAGCATCTGTTTGTTCTTGTGATATAGATGGAAAAGTTTTTAATATTTCCTGAAATGTTCTAGTTGTTCCTACTATTGATACTACAGGTCTGACAAACAAGAAGTTTAAGAATTGGCATATCCTTGCCATGGCTGCTTGAGATTTTTGTAGCAGCTATGATTAGAATGACTTTATTGCTATTACCCTGTAATAGAATCATAAAAAAGAGCGTTGGAAGGGACCTCAGGAGGTCTCTAGTCCAACCCCCTGCTCAAAGCAGGACCATCCCCAACCAGATCATCCCAACCAAGGTTTTGTCTAGCTGGGTTTTAACAACCTCCAAGGATAGAGATTCTACAGCCTCTCTGGGTAACCTGTTCCAGTGTTTTACTACCCTCCTAGAGGTTTTTCCTAATATCTAACTGAAACTTGTCTTGCTGCAATGTGAGACCATTTCTCCTTGTTCTGTTACCTGCCACCACTGAAGGACGTTTCTAGCACCATCCTCATTGGAACCACCCTTCAGATAGCTGAAGGCTGCTATTAAATCCCCTCAGTCTTCTCTTCTGCAAACTAAAAAGCCCAGTTCCCTCAGCCTCTCCTCAGAAGTCATGTACCCCAGCCTCCTAACCACATTTGTTGCCCTCCACTGAACTCTCTCCAGCTTGTCCACATCCTTTCTGTAGTGGGGGGGTCCAAAACTGGACACAGTACTTCACCAGTGACTTCACCAGTGACTTCACCAGTGGCGGATAGAGGGAATAACTTCCCTCAGTCTGCTGGCAACACTCCTACTAATGCAGCTCAGTATGAGGTTAGCCTTCTTGACAACAAGAACACGCTGTGGGCTCATATTCAGCTTATTGTCCACTGTAACCTCCACCCAGGTCCTTTTCTGCAGAGCTGCTGCTTAGCTAGTTAGTCCCCAGTCTGTACTGGTGCGTGGGGCTTTTCCAACCTAAGTGCAGGATTTTGCACTTTTCCTTATTGAACTTCATGAGATTTCTTTTGGTCCAGTCCTCCAATTCATCTAGGTCTCTCTGAATCCTACCTTTCATCATATCTACTACTCCCCCAAGCTCGATGTCATCTGGAAACTTGCTGAGGCTACACTCCATCCCATGAGCGACTAGTGCCTTCCAAGCCTCTGGGGGCACCAATGGGGCACGACTGGTGGGGTGGGGCAGGATCCAGAGCCAATTTCGGGGAGGGCACTCCGTGCCCCCCTACCAGCTGGAGCATTTGCTGTCACGGGGGGGTACCAGCACTCTCAGGGGGGCACATGCCCCCCCCTTTACCCTCCCCATGCATCGCCTATGCTCCATCCTATTTCCAGATCATTGGTAAAGATATTGAACAAAACTGGCCCCGGGACCAACTTCTAAGATATTCCACTTGATACTGGCTGAGAACTAGACATTGAGCCATTGATCACTACCATTTGAACCTGCTGATCCAGCTAGTTTTCTATCTACCTTACAGTCCATTCATCCAACCCATATTTCCTTAGCTTGCTTGTGAGAATGTTGTGGGAGACCGTATCAAAAGCCTTGCTAAAATCAAGATATAGCAAGTCCGCTGGTCTCCCTGCATCCACAGAACCAGTCACGTCATCATAGAAGGCAGTCAGGTTGGTCAGGCATGACTTGCCCCTAGTGAATCCATGCTGACTACGCCTTTGCCTCCAAGCGCTTAGAAGTGGATTCTTTGAGGACCTGCTCCATGATTTTTCCAGGGACTGAGGTGAAGCTGCCTGTCTGTAGTTCTCTGGATCTTCCTTCTCTTTCTTAAAAATAGGCACTAGATTTGCCCTTTTCCAATCATCTGGGACCTCTCCCAATTGCCACAAGTTTCCAAAGGTAATGGCCAGTAGCTCTGTAATCACATCAGCCAACTCCCTCAGCACCCTTAGGTCTCAGGTGTGTCGCGTCTGGACCCATCAACTTATGTACATGTCCAGCTTCTCTAAATAGTCCCTACCCTATGTTTCGCTATTGTCAGCTGCTTGCCTCCTCCCCAAACTGTGCTGCTAGGTGCAGTAGTCTGGGAGCTCTGACCTTGCCTGTGAAGATAGGTATAAAAGGCATTGAGTACTGATGCCTTTTTCTGCATCAGCTGTCACTAGGTTGCCTCCCCCATTCGGTAAGGGACCCACACTTTCCCTAGTCTTCCTCTTGCTGCTGACATACTTGTAGAAACCCTTCTTGTCACCCTTCACATCCCTTGCTAGCTGCAACTACAATTGTGCCTTGGTCTTCCTGACTTCATCCCTGCATGCCTGAGCAATGCTCTTATAGTCTTCCCTAGTCATTCCACTTGTAAGCTTCCTTTTTGCATTTTAGCTCATTAAGCCAAGCTGGTCTTCTGCCATACTTGCTAGTCTTCCTGCACATCAGGATGGTTCTTTCCTGTACCCTTAGTAAGGTTTCTTTAAAATGCAGCCAGCTCTCCTGGACTCTTCTCCCACTCAGCCTGGCCTCCCAGGGGATCCTGCCCATGAGCTCCCTGAGCGAGTTGAAGTCTATTTTTCTGAAGTCCAGGGTCCTTACTCTACTGCTCTCCATCCTTACTTTGCTCAGGATCCTGAACTCAGTCATCTCATGACCAGTACTGCCCAAGTTGCCATTCACTACTACATTCCCCACCAATTCTTCCCTGTTTGTGTTCTAGGAATGAAGATTTGTGATTGTTCATCAAGTTGTCTAGTCAATAATGAAGACTTTGTGGTTTAAGTCTAATCTATTCCTCTCTCTATCCTGATGAGCTTTAAGTTACATAATGGAAAACTAGCATGTACAGTAATGCTACAGTGAGATGAACTCTCTTCAATGAAATCCCAAGCTCCGACTTTGAACTAAGCCAAAGTTTCCAAAATGAGGGAACAACCATTCAGATGCTGTAACTGTCAGTTGTGAGGTCTGTGAATTAGAAATCACAAATAAGCTATAATTCTATAAAAACCAATGTGGTGTTAAAGTTAAACTTGGTAATGAGATCAGTAGGAAGGAATAGAATTCCTTTGTTCTTTTTGCCCAAGCAAGAACTGGAGATTACATCTTGGAGAGACTGTGGGAAATTAAAATGCCTTTTAATGAGATGTTATGTGTTTTGGGTAATAGTTTTAACACCAAATTGCCAGTAACCATCTTGAGATCTGGCCTATGTTTGGTCAGTTTTATTTGCTAGTCTCTTGGAAACTTAACAGTACCTCTGTGTGAGAGAGAGAGACTTTGTTTTGCTTTTTTGCTGGTATGCTGCAACGTCAGAGCGATGCAAATGCTGATGAATTGCCCTGTGCTAGATCCCAACGTGGAGCCCCACCTGCTCTTGACTTAGGAGCAGAGGTTCACTGGTGTTTCACACATTCCTTTTGCAAATAGTTTTGTTCATTTTTTTCCTATTTTGTTTTTTTTTTTGTTCTTCCCAGGACTCTTAATACCATTTTATTCCTACACCTGGATTTGCAAATATGTGCTATTTTTAACACCACTGAGAGTTTGGTGGGAACCTCGAGAATTAAAATGAACTTAATGAACCACGCATTTTTATTTTATAACACATACTTTCTTCTTTACAGCAAGATGGCCATGCTGACTAGAAACAAGGAATACTTATGCTCAAGCATCCTCTTATAAGCCTTGACTTAAGACCACATTTAAACTCATGTGTAATAAATTGACTTATAGCACATGTTTAAAATTGAGCTTATTTGAGGCTGCTTTCCTGAACTGATGCCTAAACTAATAGGGAAGTAGTCAGTTTCCATCCCTTTGAGACTGCCAGATGTCAAATTTTCCCCTCAGTTTTACTCATTCGAGCACTCTGGGTAAGATTGCATGACTCTAACTATGAGTTGTGTCCATTATGAGTGCATAGTAGAAGGGACTTCTTAGAATTTCAAAACTTGTGATAGTTTAACACTAAAATCAAGTCACTTTTTCATTTAATCCTGCAGCAAACTGGCAGAAACCTTCACTTCTGTGTGATGAGTAACACACTTTTAGTTACCTATGGTTCGATTTGTGTGTGACGATCATATTGTTCCTACCACTCATCTTCTGCTCTTTTCCCTTTTAGCTCATCTGTGGTACATGTCCCTGGTGTGAATGATATCCAATCATCTTCTTCAACAGGCCAAAATCTGACCCAGATATCTCGCCAGTTAAATCAGAGCCAAGTTGCCTGGACTGGGAGTCGCCCACCATTTCCAGGACAGGTACTGTGATTGAGGCAGGTTTTGGCAACTTATGTCACACAGGCCAGATTCAGCCCACAGTCTCATTTGATCTGGCCCAACGTGGGTCTTCAGTGGGAGGGGGCTTCAGCAATGGTCACTCTTCATGTGCTGCCACTGTAGGGAGAAAGTAGCCTTGGAGCCCTAATTATGCCTTTTAATATTGCAGCAGAATAATGCAAATGGCCTGTTTTAAAACTTGCAAAAATTGATTAATTTAAAACAATAAATTAAATCAATTCCTCCATTTCTGATTTCTGGTCAAAACAGAATCCCAAAGGAAAAAAATACGAGTTTACTTGGACAAAAATTCTCTACATGACATTGGCAATCCCCACGTATATCCTAATTTAAGACCTCATTCCTGTGTGGACATATACAAGTCATCATGACTACTTATGATTGCAATTAAGCATATGCATAAACTCTTTGCTGGGCCGAAGCCAAATATGCCTGCATTCTTTACATACAACATTAATATGTATTGCAGAAAAATCTCTCTAGTCTGAGTCAATTGTGTAGTCTGTGCAGAAGGTGACCGTACATATTAAAGACAGAATAGCAACCCAGTCACTAAATGCTTTTGTTTTAATCTCTGGAGGCAAGTCTATGTATTAATATTACTGTTTGCATTCAAATTTATTACATAGGATAAAGGCACTTATTTATTTAATCAGCAGCTTGTTTGTAAGCATATTAGTTTCCCAGTATCATAAACTTGGTGCCCAGTCCTTCATCCACATCAATTGCTAGGCTTTGTCTTCTTCAAATTTAAATAATATTTTCACATGTTTTCATCTGTACGTTGTGTATGAAAGCCATAATTAGTCAGTAAGCAAAAAAGCAATATATCTTCTTAGCTGAAGCCATCAGTCTGATTAAGTCTGCAGCTAATCCTTTTACCAACTTAAAAATATTTTGCAGAAAAATCTGCATGTTCCTTGTCATTGTGGAATCTTCACAGCTAAGTAACTTATTTGCAAGAAACTGAACTGAGGACTTAAACACATTTTCACCATCTTATATGTCTGTTGGGATCTGGTTTGCCCAAGCAAAAAGCTTTACTTCAGTGCATTGATTGCCAATAACATGAACGTCATTAAAAGTATCCTGAAATGTTACTGCTTTTAATTTCAAGCAGTAGAACTTGTTAAGCAGTAGTCTTGCATGGAGCTGATGGACTTGTTTATGGAGGGGAGGGAATGCTTTGTGGGTAAGCAGGTTCTACTCCAGGCACTATCTCCTGATGTACCATGTGACTCTGGGTGAAACCTGTAACCACGCTTGGTCTCAGTTTACCTCTCTCATGGGTATGTTGTGGTGTTTAATTGTTTGTGACATGCTTTGCAATCCTCAGAGGAGCTCATTGTAGAAGTGTCAAGTCAGTGGTGTGTTTGTTGTTAAATCACATCCATGATTTAACTAAACCATCTACTTTAAACAAAGTGTGGTTATTTTCCCCCTGAGGTTGTCCTATTCATTTCCACCAACTCTTCTGCAAAGGTTGGCTGCTTGTCCAAGGCAAGATATGACATCTGCCCTGTGGGTTACATTCCACTTAGACAACCTGCTTTTCATAGTATGAAATCAGGAGAGAAAGCCCAGCAGGCTTTGAAATCTGTGGGGGGGGAAAACCAGGGCATCTGCTCTAAAGCCTCTTGGGCCAGGTGCCATGATCATTGGAAGCCCTGTTGATCTGAATATACCAGTTATCCTACAGAGTAATCAGAAAATTGAGGCTGTGTTGTACAAGCATAAAAGCAGGACCGCTGGCAAATAAAGATGCCTCCTTTATGTATTTTTTTTCTTCTTTGATCTTAAATGTCATGACCCAGCAGAGGTAAAAGAGAACAGGTTATGGCAGGTAACCACCAGCAATAGTAGCATTTCTCTCTCATTGGGAGAGCTGTATGCATTCATTTCTAGTGTGTTACTTTCATTAAACTTAAGTAGCAGTTAATCCCATGTTGACAGAAGTTGAATAGGGTTGAGATGGGAATACTATGCCTGGTCTCATCTGTAAAATTTCTTTAGCACTTGTTTTTACATTGTTTAAAAGTTGTCCGTTGTGCTGCTTCTCTTACATCAGCAATCAAAATAATTTGCATTGTGTTTTTTGATTTCCTTGCCCCCTAGCAAATTCCATCACAGTCTGGCAAGGCTCAATCATCACCCTTTGGGATTGGAACCAGCCATACCTATCCAGCTGATCCGTCCTCATACAGTCCACTTTCGAGCCCAGCCACCTCTTCCCCAAGTGGCAATGCCTACTCCAGTCTAGCAAACAGAAGTGCAGGGTTTGGTAAGTTTGAAATGCACATAAAATTAAACCCCTAAAACACTACAGCCCAAATCCAGCCCTACTTTTAGACAGGTAAGTAGTAGTTATGCAGCTAACTTTAGCCGAAATGGGACATTTCAGGCTACTTGTGCAAAAGTTAGATATTGCCTCTCTGTAAAGAGGTGTGCAGCTGCATGCATGCATCCAAGAAGAGTGCTGGTAGAGAAGCAGGCCCACCCACGATGTCCATTCTTGGTCATATGTGGGAACAGAATAGAAAGCAAGCCAGAGGTAGCTTTGTGTCTCAGTGAGATGGGCGCTGCCTTGGAAGGAAGAGGGCTGAGTTCTGGCTTCTGGCACTGCTTCTGCACCCAGTGGGGTATGAGCTGTCCCACATTTTTGCAGGTAACCTCTGACATTTTATTTTGTTCACACTGAATAGCCACTCCTGTCTTCAGAACACAAGCAGCAATTGCAAAGTGGCTATTCAAACTTAGAGTGGCTATTCAGTGTGAAATGCATCTCTCTCAAAAGCTCCATCCTGCTTTACGGAGTCACTAGCTATGGTCCTGAACCACAGAGAGTTTCACTGAAGTCTTTAGGATTTTAGTTGTGGGGACAGCCCCCTGGAAGATCAGAGCTTGTATATTTTTACATAAGTAAATTGCTTCATTCAGGAATCATAAGCACTGCTGGGTTGGATTTACAACATTCAGAGCATGTCTGCATGGATCAGAACTTGACAAAACATGTAGCCAATTCTTACCTATGTTAATATTTGGTGAGTGTGTACTTTTTGTGTTTAGCTGTATTTATTGGGAGCTGGAAACCCTCAGATATGAGCCTTAAGATTATAATTAAAGTATATGAAACTTTGTAATGGATTACATTTCTTCTTAGGTAATTAGATAGAAATGTTAAAGATAACTGTGCTGTTCGTTGTCTCTTCAGTTGAATGTTCAGATTATGCCTTTAGCGTGGGATGTTCCTGAGAGTGCAAAATGAAAAACATCTAAGGGATAATGAAATAGGAACACTCTACTCTTCCCCTCTACCTTACAACCCCCCACTTCCTAACCTAGTTTTCTTGATAATAAACTTTCTAAGATGATGTTAATCATAAAATTAGCAGATACAGGACTTTTTTTTTCTTTCTGCTACAGTGTTCATTTATTGCACTTTGCTTTTTTCTCAGGGTTGAAAGTGCAATATGACCAGTTTTGTTTCAAGCCTGTTTTACTCCCTGGGCCTCCTGGCTAGCCCTGTGCTGTACTGCCTGGAATGCAGTAGGGAATGCATGCATCAAAATGGAAAACTTCCCACCGAGTTTATTCTTGGTGCCGTCTCCATTCACGTGGGACTTTGTGCCTTTGTTTTGTGAGTGAGCCTGCACTTTGTGCTTAGCAAGGACCCATTCACCTAATGAGAAACACTCCCTGACCTACATCAGTTTGAATTCTTTTATTAAATACAATTCTTACCAAAAAAGAACTCCTTAAACCTTCTGCTGGCAGCTTCTGTCTGGCTGAGAAGCCTCATTTGCCTCACTAAGTAAATTTCAGCACATTGTATAGAGCAGAACACATGCTGTATCTTTTAAAGGGTAACTTAAATGACCTGTCCTTTGACAAGTTATGTGGCAGCAGGATTTTTGAGTCAGCCAAATTATTTGTCACTGTAATGTCAGTCGAGGAAGACAAAATTATCTAACCCAGATGCAACAGAAGAATGCCATTATAGTTTACAAGTTTTCTGAAAAACAGCTCATCTCCTCAATGCTACATTTCTTAGCTGGTAGCAAAGTTTACCTAGAGGGAATTTGAGGCGTTTGTCATGTTGTACGTCATGAAGCAGTGACCTATGCAGTCATGGATTTTGGTTATTCCCATTTCCCATTCTTTCCATTGTTCTGAGTGGAAGTTACACTTTCTGGTTACCAGGAGCCTGATGCAGCGTAACAAGCAGAATCACGTGTCTCTGCAGAAGTAGTTAGAACAATAGTATCTCTTGGCCCATGGTACTGATGACCCCTAGTATCTAATCCACCAGTTCCTCCCAAATGTTGGCTTACAAGTTTGAAGAAAAATAGTTGAAAATAGGAGGAGTAAAACAGGGAAAATATCTGGGGGAGGGAGGGTGTGTTCTTTCAGTTGCGGCACCTTGGACCAAGATATGCAACACGCTAACAAAAACTGTGCTGCTTTAATTGCATTTCATTAGGGATGCCTCTTCCATTTCTGAGCTGAAGGAAAAGTATTGGTCCTGCACTGTGCTGTAGAGGGACCAGGGGAGGCTTAAACACAGTTATACCATTAGCATAAATACCAACGTTCACATTTTTGTGCTGGGCAGTGGTTCCCAAAAATCACCCCTAAAAGCGATGAAACATTAACATTGTAGAAAGTGGCTCTACAAAGACTTCAAACACAGAAGGAGAATCTCCTGGGTAACATTTTAAACATGCAGGGCTAACTTGTGTCTACAGAGGTACAATGTGAAAACCCACTGACTTTGAGTAAACAGCATCTCTGAACATACCCATAAAAGCTGTGTGCACAGTAGACGACAAGCAGTCTATATGGTATCAGTTTTTAATGGGTCATTAGGACTACATTTGTCTTGCCTCTAAACCTCTTTATTCCTTCAAAACCTCAAGTGGACTTGCAGTCTCAGGTACCACCTGGTATACGAATGAATATAAGATGACACCAGCATGAATTCAATAGATGCTTTCCCCCTGGAAATAATGGAAACAGATTTGCCCACTGACCAGCTTGCTAAACAACCTCAGTGCTTCAGATTGCAAGGCCCCTGCTTGTCTCAAGTATCTAAAGGCCTGACTGTGCAAGTAGGGGGCCAACATCCTGCTTTTGCAAAGTCTGAAAACAGACCCATTACATATTCCAGCAGATAGAAGTACTCCTCTGGTTCAGCTCTTGATCAAAATGTGTCTTAAAGAGAAAGGGGCTTTAAAATGCCTGCATTGTCATTTGGGTTTAAGTGAAACAGCAAATAACTACTTGTCCCTATTAAAAGAAAAGGCAGGATAGCAGAGGACCCTGGCGTTATTCCTGTTAGCTTTCATTACACTATTGATTTATTTTGCTTTGTGCTTTAACAGGGTCCTTCTTGTGTTGGTAAAGTGATAGTAATTAACCTTGCGCACACTTTCTCTCTCTGGGTCCCACCCATCTCATATGAGAGATCAGTGCCAAAACCTCCAATCCTGTGAGAACAGATCCTTGCTGAATATCCCTGTTATAAAATTGATTTCCCAACACTGAAGGTCTTTAACATCATTACAAAGATACTTGTGCATTTTTAAAAGAACTCTCTCTCCAAATCTGGTAGATCTTATGGGTCTCCAAATCTGAATTTTTCAGCTGAAAGTGGTCAAAGCAGTGGACAGTTCCAAGGGAGACCTTCAGAAGTCTGGTCCCAATGGCAAAGCCAGCATCATAATCAGCAAAGCAGTGACCAACACTCTCACCAGCAGCCCAGCCAGACTGAAGTGTTCCAGGTGAGTAGATTTAAGACTTCATGACACCTACAGTGATTTCATTAAGTGAAAGGAATTGCTCTTCTCCTGATAATGCTAGCCAGGTTGAACACATGGAGTGGCAGAGGACATGACAATAGTATTCCTTAGTTTAGTGTGTGCTGGCTTTTACATTGATGTGAGCTGGGATTAGAAAACCTTTTCCTAAGATTCTCTGTTTTGCTTTCTGCTGAATCACAGAAAGTCTTTGATTTAAAACGATTACAATTTTCCTTTCTGTTCTTGCTCCCTCAGTACAGAGTTGATACATTTTGTGGAGAGGCTAGTAGACAGTCTTGACTAGATAGTCCTCCTGATATCCTCTTTCTTCCTTTTATGGTCCAGACCAATAAAATCTAACAGGGTCCAGTTAGTCTAAGTTCTCTTTAAGAAGAGGGAGGAGATTAGGTGTGTTCTTCAGAGGAGATACTGGGTAATGATTTTTACAACAGTCCACCTATTTGGACACGGTTGGTAGCCCAATAACTATCTTCAGTAACTCAACTTGTTATTTTGTGGTATGAATTGCTGTTTATTGTATCTTCATTTTAGTTGGGCTTAATGTTTCACAAGCAAATATATTGATACGGTCTCTTTGGGTGCATCTACACGTCACCCTACGTTGCCATAGCAACACACTACATTGCTGTACGGCTCTTTACAGCAGTGTAGCAATCACGCAAGTCTACACATGATCAGCAGCTATGTCTCCATAGCAGCACGCTCCCCCAGTTTAGCACACCGCTACATTGCCCTAGCAGCGAAAACTGCGCCATGTGCATGGCACAGTACAGGTGGTTACTGTGCTGTGCTTTAGTATTTCCAAAAGAAAGTACTAAAGTACAGTGCCGTAGCAACAGCACCATATGGCAACTTGTAGACGTGCCCTTTATGTATTTAAAATATTTTTCATTTAAATTGGTTCAAGACGACTGTTCATAAAAGAGCACTGTGGATAGGTATATGCAAGGGAAAAGAGAGAGAAGTAAACAGCAAGCAGGTGCCAGATTTACTTCAGTGTGTATCACTAGAGACCTTGGCACGGGGACCCCAGCAGCAGAACTCCCTCAGAGGGATGGAGGTTTCAGCAGGTCAAGGCAGAGGCATCCTCATTGGAGGTGGCTTCAGAGATAGCAAATGAAGCATAAAATATACAAAGTGCTGGCCAGGAAGGTGGGGCTGGCCACGGCAGTTGGGGAAGCGTGCCAATCAAGTCTGCTGCATCTCTTATTGCCACTGACAGGGACCCCACAGTCGGACTTGCAGCTTGTGTTCTCCTGGGTTGAGTCCTCAATACAGTATGCAGCTACTCTCAGATAAGGGTAGTTATTCCTCCCAAGAGAAGATCCTTAGAGCCTTTTTGATTGCTATTGAAGAATTGTTTTATCATAAAGATGTTAATGATGCATCTTTTGGTGCAAAACTAAGTCCTGCCAGAGCTTGTTCCTGTAAAAGCTGGGAGGAGGGCAGGAAGAGATGATACTTTATGCACTTGAATCCAAGACTGAGTTTCTCCCCATTCAACATGGGGGAGGGGGAAGCTCCTTGTCTTGGATTTAAGTACAAGTACAAGGTGGGTGGGTTGGGGGGAAGATGGGGAGAAGTGGTGGGAGCTGCCTGCCCCCCTGCTGCTGCTTTCCCCACTGCAGCAGTGGGAAGGACAAAATTAAGGTGGCCCTCCAATACATGGAAAATTCTAACGGATTTATCATTTTTCTATACATAGAATCTAATTATTGGGGGTTCTCTTAAATTCAAAGTCATCTCTGATTTGAGTGAATATGGTAGTTTTCTCAACAGAGAATACCTTTTTCCCATTGCTTTGTCCATGCTGGACGAGATGCTTTGGTACTTTCTAAACCTACTACAAGGACCTTACTTGACTTGGAAGCAATTATCATGAGCTTCCCCTTTCTCAAGAGAAGTCAATTAATTTCCGCTTCCTTGCTTGGTCAGCTTGTTAACCAGGAGGAAAGTCTGACCTCCAGCATTGTTCAGTGGAGGTGCAGTGATAATAAATGTAGCTCCTGCTTACAGAGTGCTATTAAGGAGGAAGAGGATCCTCCACAAATGTATGCTGATAGCAGGAGCCATAATTCAGCTACATGAAAGCAAGACTCCCTCCACTGCACTCAGCATAGTACTTCAGAAAAGGTGCGTGATTCAAATTAAAGGGGGTTCAGTGATATCAAGACACAGATAAATCATATGATCCTTAATAGCTACTGCCTGGTCATCAGTTACTTATCAGTTGCTTATCCTTGTGTCTGCTGTGGGAGGGGAAAGCAAGCCATAATTCAGCTACATGAAAGCAAGACTCCCTCCACTGCACTCAGCATAGTACTTCAGAAAAGGTGCGTGATTCAAATTAAAGGGGGTTCAGTGATATCAAGACACAGATAAATCATATGATCCTTAATAGCTACTGCCTGGTCATCAGTTACTTATCAGTTGCTTATCCTTGTGTCTGCTGTGGGAGGGGAAAGCATGATGCTGTGAGGTGCTGAATGCTGCCTAAGTAGTCCTGCAGCTCTCGGACTTCAGGGAAAGGG